CGTGTTGGATACTGGCTGGCCAATTTGATACTGTCTGGCCAATTTGATACTGTTTTGCAGCCACCGAAACATCTGCTTGGAGATTAGACATAACCAAACCTGAAAAATTTAATACCACTATTCTATTCTGTTCTGTTCAATACTGGATTTAGGGCATCATGTCTCCTTGAAAGATACTATTAAAATTGACATGCAGTTGAAAAAGTCACTGTTTGCCCTTACTGCCTTCTCATAACTTGAGGTGTCCTAAAATCTTTACCTGAGGGTTTGTGTGTACCTCTTCCACTGATTCTTTAGAAAATAAGCAGATTTTACGGCGTTTAAACAACCCAAGTGATCTGATTGGATAATACCATCACGTGATACCCGTCCATCACCCTGGCAACGTCCTTGGGGAGACCATGTCCTTGGGGAAACCTAGCCTGACTAAATCTGCGCTCCTAGCGGCCGGCCGCTAGGAGCGCAGATTTAGTCAGGCTAGGGGAAACCATGGACGTATAATGGAGAGACAAAGGAGCAGTTTCTCGCCACCCCACGGAGCTCGAAGTGTTCTGTTTCTTTAAAAATATCAAGAAATTATTATAAATTTAAGATTAAGAGAGAATAGGAGAGGAACATCATTTTGTAGTAGAATGTAATTTTACATTTACAATTATAATATTTATATATTCAAATGCCCAGCTTCAGACAATTAACCACCATATAAAGAAGACCGATTCAAACTGTTTGTCACACTGCATTGCGGATCAGGTACTGTACATTTCCAACAAGCGCTGCAGAAAACAACGGCAGCTTGTTCGTAACATCCAGTGGCTAGAAGGTACCAACTGAAAATATTCTAACTAGACCCTTATAAAAGGTAAGTCTTAAAGGCACCCAAGCGATTTCAGGGCAGTCAAACTAGATTTTCAAGGTCAATTTTCTGTTAATTTTTTTTATTTAAGTTAGAAGTTGAATCACCCATGTCCCATCTGTGAGGCAAAATGTGATGTCACTGATGGAAAACAGTTGCTTGAAAAGAATACTATTCAAGTTAGTTCTTTCAAA